CTGCTGCTGGCAGTGTGAGAGCTCATGGAAGCACAAGTCCATTGTGACACAGCAAGGCCTGATGGAACCAAGGGTCCTTTTTTAAACTGTGTAGCCTCATGGAACCATGAGCCGTTGTGACACAGAGTGGCCACACAGAGCCAAGGGGCAATTGTGACACTGCGGATCCAAGGAGACCATTGGGACTGAGGAACCTCATGGAACCAAGAGTCCATTGTTCCACTGTGGGGCCCTGTGGAACCAAGGGGAGCACAGTGACATTGCGGGGCCTTATGGAACAATGGAGACTGTTCTGACACTTTGGGACCCAGTGGAACCAAGGGGCCATTAGAGCATGGCAGGGCCTGGTGGAATCAAGGGGACTGCAGTGAACACTGTGGGTGTCCATGGGATGAAGGGTCCATTCTGACACTGTGGAACCAAGATACCGTTGTGACACTCTGGGGCATCATGGAACCAAAGGTCCATTGTGACACAGCGTGGCCACATGGAACCATGGAGGCCATTTTTACACTTGGAGGCCTTGTGGAACCAAAGGGCCATTGTGGCACTTCAGAGCCTTGTGGAATCAAGGGGACCATAGTGACACTCTGGGGCTCCATGAAACCAAAGGTCTGTTGTGACACTGCAAGGCCTTGTGGGATCATGGAGACCATTGTGACACTAGAAGGCCTCATGCAAGCAAGGAACCATTGTGACACTCTGGAGTCTTGGCAGACCAAGGGGAAGTTGTCACACTGTGTGGCACCATGGAACCAAGGAGGCCATTGTGACACTGCAGGAACTAAGGATCCATGAACATTGCAGGACCCCATGGAACCAACGGTCCATTGAGACATTGTGGGGCCTCATGGAATCCTGGAGGCCATTCTGACAATTTGATGCTTCATTGAAACAAGGGGCTCTGCAGGGCCTCATGGGTCCAGGAGACCCCTGTGACACTGCAAGTCTTCATGGAAACAAGGGTCCATTGTGACACTGCAGCACCAAGGAAACCCCTGTGACACTGCCAGGCCTCATGGAAGCAAGGGACCATTGTGACACTGGAGCCTCATGGAAACAAGAGGCCAGTGTGACACATCTGGGCCTGATGGAACCAAGGATCCAATATGACACCACCACTGGGACACTGCAGGGCCTCATGGAAACAAGGGAACAGGGAACTGGTCTGGTTGGCTTGGTCTGACTGGTCCAACTGCCCTTGGCATGTTGAAGGTCTCCTCTCTTGTACCCCTGAAACCCTGGGGCTCTGGGCTTTCCTTCAATTGGAAAAGAACTGCCCTTCTCATTCAAGCATCCATGGCCAAAAAAGGATTCCGTCTCCAAAATTCCCAATATCCAGGGATTGTTCCCAGACAAAATCTGCCATTGCCAGCAAGTCTGGCTGACCTGGTCTTCCTGAAATTTCGGTCTCACCTGCCTTCAAAGACTGAGGCTCCACCCTTTCCTTCCTATGGAAAAGAACTATGTTTTTGCAAGTGCTCATGGCTAAAATTGGGATTCCACCTGCAAAAGTCCTATATCCATTGATTGCTTCTACACAAAAGCTGCCTGTCCAGCCAGGTCTGGCTGGCCTTGGCCTCCTGAGGGCTGGCTCTCACCTGTCTTCCAAGCACAGGGGCTCCATTCTTTCCTTTCTGTGGAAAAGAACTGGCCTTCTCCTCCAGGGAGAAATGGCTGAAATTGGGATTCCACATTCAAAATTTCCAATATCCAAGAGCTCCTCCAAGACAAAGCTGCCAGGACAGACAGACAGGCCTGGCCTTGGCCTCTGGTGACTGCAGTTCATCAGCTCCTGAAACACTGGGGCTGTGTGGTTTCCTTCCTGTGGGGATCATGGTGACACTGTGGGGCCTCGTGGTACCAAGGCCATCACTGTGGCTCTGCTGGGCCGTATGGTCCCAAGGGGCCAGTGTGAAGCAGCAGGGCTTTGTGGAACCAAGAGGCCATTGCTGCATTTCCGGCCCTCGTGGAACCAAAGGTCCGTTGTGATCCTGCAGGGCACCGTGGATCCATGGAGAGCATTGTGGAATTGCAAGGCCCCATGGAATCATGGAGACCATTGTGACACTGTGGGGCCCCACGGAACCAAAGGGCCACTGTGACCCTGCACGGTCTCATGGAAGCACGGGGCCACACTGCAGAAGCAAGGAGAACATTGTGACACTGCAGGGCCTCATGGAACCAAGGGGAGATGGAACAGGTTTGGCTGGTTTGGCCTCCAAGGGGCCACTGAAAAGGTCCAGCTGATCTTAGAATGCTGAGGGCTGCCTCTCATCAGCCCCTGGAGAACTGGGACTCTGTGCTTTCCTTAATGTGGAAAAGAACCATCTGTCTTCCCAGGTTCTCACAGTCAAAACTCATGCTCCCTCTGAAAAATTCCCTATATGCAAGGGAATCCATGACAAAAGCTGCCAGGACAGAGAGCTCTGGCTGGCCTTGGCCTCTGTTGGTCACCTCTCATCTCAAGAAAGGCCTGAGGAAAGTATTTGAACAGGTTTGACTACAGGTTTGAACATCAATGGGTCTCTCATCCTCTAAAAAACTCAGCTGCTCTTCTGATCATATGTGTCTTTTGTTTCCTCAGTGTGTCTTATGCATGAAATATTATTTTCAGGTTCATAATATTATTCTTTTCACTCTACCAGTGTTATCTGACACAAAACACCTCCTCTAAATATGGATCCTGGTCACTGTACAAGCAAACACAAGAAAGAATCCAGCAGGAATGATTTGTCCCTGCTCTCATCTGTCCCATCTCCTCTGGAGCTGGAGGTGCAGCCCCAGCACTTGGCAGGGCTCAAGGGCTCACAAGCTCAGCTCCCACCCAGAGAACTTGCAGACCCTGGGCTGCTCTTCTTGGCCCCTGCACGCTCAGCCAGGCTGAGATGGACACTGATGGTTTCTGGGCCAGGCTCTCTGAGCCCAGCCCAGCTCCCTGCAAGCTCTGCCAGCTGCCCTGAGCTCTGGGCAGCACCAAGGGCCTCTCCCCAGCCCAGCCCAGCCGGCTCTGGCCCCACAGCTCTGCTCAGGCCAGGCTGCTCTGGGCACTGCCCCACAGCCTCAGCCCCTGGCAAGGGCACAGCAGCAGCTGCAGCTGCCACAGGACTCAGCCCCAGCATGGGGGAATGTGCCTGGCCAAGGGAAAGGAGGCTCCCTGGGTGCCCTGCTCTCCTCTGCAGGAGATGCTGAGAGCTCTGCAGCCCCTGCTACCATCCCATCTGCCCAGGGCAGCACAAGAGCCCCGGTCTTGGGGCCCTCAAGAGCTGCTCCTGCTCCAGGCCCAGGGCCCATCCCAAAGCTGGGGCAGCCACAAAGCCGTGCCCATTTCTGTTCATTTCTGCTTTGATGAGGATGGATCCTCAGCACCTTGTAGGCGTGTGATAAATTTTACTTTTACAGAGGCCTCTTCTTTGTTGAGCTCTTCAGTTCAGGAATTCAGTGACAAAGGCTCATAAACATTTGTTCAAAACACCCAAACAGGAGAAGGCTGAGGGAATAATTCAAATCTTCAGTTCTTCTGTGCTTAATTAGACAAATTTAAGAAGTGTATTCAAAGTGAATCTATGATATTGAAAACAATGCAGACAGAATTATTTAGTCGTGTTTAGTTTTCTTTTCCTGTTTATAGATTGGTATCAGCAATCCCCAGTAGATATTGATCCCCAGCCCCTCCTCATGCAGTCTGAACAGGTATGAAAATCAAGACCCTTCATGGCTGGCAATCAATCACATTTTGTCTCTACCCCCTCCCCACCATTTCCCTCATCCAACCCCTGTCACTCAGAGCAGCTGAGGAATGGAGTCACATCCAGGGGTGTTCCCAGGGCTCAGGATTGGGGCCAGGTCAGTGAAATCTCTTTATTGCTGATCTGGATGAGGCCATCGAGGGCACCCTCAGTCAGTTCTCAGGTGAGCCCAAGCTGGGTGGCAGTGTGGCTGTGCTGGAGGGCAGGAAGCTCTGCAGAGGCATCTGGCCAGGCTGGAGCCATGGGACCAGGACAATGGGATGAGGTTCCCCAAGGCCAAGGGCCACGTCCTGCCCTGGGCTCACAACCACCCCAAATCCCTGGCTGTGCCCTGCCCCTGATCCCCACAGCCTGTCTTGTTTCCTTCATCCCTGCACTGCCAGGGACTCTCTGGGACAAGGGAGCTCTGCTCTGGGGATGGAGGGAGGTGCAAGTGCCACCACTGGAGTGGGAGCCAGAACTCACCAGGTTTGTGTCCTTTGGCGGTCAGGAACTGGTGGGACTCAGAGCAGAGAAAGTTTCTCTTTATGGCCAACAGACCATGGTTGAACAGGACACAATTCAATAACAATCATGCTCTTCCCTGAGCCATGTGCATGGTCTCAGCAGCGTCTGACATGTCCACCATCCGCAAGTGATTTCCATACTAAAATATCTTTTAGAAAAATATGTTTCTGTGATAGATATAAACACAGTGAAGTTCTTGTATCAGGATGCCCATCCTGGAGTAGGGGCAAAGCAGCCTGAACAGTTCCTGATTTGCAAAGCTGTCAGTGGTACATGGAGAAGGGTTTCAGGCTGCTTTTGGTGTTGAGAAAATGCTGAAACCAGCCTGACTCATTTCATCTCCTCCTGTCCTGGCTGATCTCTCCTCTTTCCCCTTCCACCCATTGGCTTTTGTCTCCCCCCAGGCCCCCCGATGAAGAGCCTGGCTCTGTGTTCTCCATCCCCTCCTGGCTGGCACTGCCAGGCTGGGATGAGGAGCCCCTCAGCCTTCCCTGCTCCAAGCTGGACCAGCCCAGCTCCCTCAGCCTCTGCTCACAGCCCAAGGGCTCCAGCCTCACCTTGGAGGCCCTTCCCAGGCCCTGCTCCAGCTGCCAGACATCTTTCCTGTCCTGGGACCCCAAACCAGGCCCCAGTGACCTGGATAATCCACATCCCGGATGTCCTGGTCACCCGGCCCTTGCCCCTTGTCCTCATGTCAGCTTTTGGGGTTGATCTTTAGGAACATCCTTGAGGGGGGCTGTGCCTTTACGTGGGCTGGGGGGATTCCAGGGTAATGAAGCCTTAATTGGTCTTATCCTAGGGCAAGGTATTACAGCTCCAGAGCTCAGCCCCCAAGGGGACGGAGTGCCAGAGGCCAGCTCGCTTAGATCAAGGTCGCGGGTCAGCCCCTAGCAAGCAGGGGGATATTCAGCTCTTATAGTGATTAGCCAGCTTTTATGATTTCAGCTTTGCTTGCTAGGCAGCTTGCCCTTGGCTTGAGGCTTCAGCAGACGGAAAGAGAGGAGAAAGAAGAAGACACTGGCCATTCCACAAAGATGGCTTTATTGGAGGGGTCCGTGAAGGGTCTCAGCTCTTCTTCTTCTTCTTCTAAGTTAGTAGGGGTACAATATGCTACTTTTATAGCCTTGGCCCCAATCCAATCTTGACCAATGGCAAAGGGTTAGAGGGACCATAAGTGACCAATAGTAGGGTTAACAAGATATTGACTTACATGGCTATAGGGATAGGTTATAGGGCAGATGTCCATGGAGTCAGGAAGCTTCTTTGCTGCTGTGTCTGCATTCCTATTGTTCAGATCCTTCATGGCTCCTTTGCTAAACCTGTGGTGTTTACTACACCAGGGGGACAGGGACCCTGCTGGGCATGAGCAGCATTGGACTTCTAGAGGGAAACTGTTAGGGGGAGCTGGGGCAGAGTGACCAACCCAGTGACTTTACACAGATCTCCTGTGATGTCACAGCCTGCTCTGTGATGTCACAACTCATTATCAATGTCACACAGATGGTCTCTGATGTCACAGCCAACCTTCTGGTGTCATAGTCCGCTCTGTGACGTCACGCTCCCACCCCCTCCCCGTGATGTCACAGCCTGCTCTGTGATGTCACAACTCATTATCAATGTCACACAGATGGTCTCTGATGTCACAGCCAACTCTGTGTTGTCATTATCTCCTCTATGATGTCTGACCTCTGCCCTGTGGTTTCACAGCTGGCTCTGTGATGTCACAGAGACAGCCTATGATGCCGTAGCTGCTTGATGACATCACATAACTCACTCTGTAATGTCATAGCCCACTCTGTGATCTCATGTTACCAGATGATAAATTGTCTACACCAGGTGAACACACACAATGCTGGTTCTCCAAAACCCCAGGCCTGTGGAAACCACACAATGCCCATTGTGTGAGAAGGAGAACTGAAATTCACCAGCCTCAGTGTCCTGCCATCTCAGCCAGGCCCACTGGAACATTGGGGTCCATGAGCACCAGGGACCACCAGAGACCCCCCAGGACAGGAGAATGCATGCAAAAGGGGAGGGGACATATGTTAATGATTTTGGAGACATGATTATCATACGTTTCTTTAGTTCAGGAAAATCAATGAATATGTGTGCAAAATACAGAATGTAAACAGAAATTTTCCTGCCCTCAGCATGCATGGCTTTGGGAAGAGCTATCCCCCTGTGCATCTGGCCAAATAAAGAATGCTGCTTCTTAATGCTACACTGGGGTAATGGAGTTATATTATTGTGCCAAATTTTTGGTAACAATCCCACTCCCAAGGAAAGCTCTGTCTGCTGCTGTTCACAAACAGAGAAGGGCTGGTGGGAGATATGGTGGTTGAAGGCTGCCTCCGTCCAGTGACCATGAAATAATCAAGTTTCCAATATTCTGTGAAAGAAGTAGGGGCAGCAACAAAACTTTATCACTGGAATTAGGGAGGGCAGACCTTGGATTCAGGATGCAGATTTGGAGAGTACTGAATCAGGTACTCATTTTATACGGGAAACAGCCCTTAAAAACAAAGGTGTCCAGGAAGGATGGATACACCTCAAGAAAGGAATCTTAAGGGGGAAGGAGCAGCCTGTCCCTCTGTGCCGAAGTTGAACCAGAGAGGAAAATTATTGTCCTGGCTGGGCATGAACTTTTGTGGGAACTCAGGAAAAAAGAGGGTGAATCACCATTGGAAAGAAGATCAGGCATCTTAGGAAGTGTTTAAGGATGTTGTTAGGTCATGCAGAAGGAAAAGTAGAGTGGTGAAAGGTCAATTAGATCTTAACCAGGCCATTTCTGTGAAAAATATTAAAAAATGTTTTTAAAAATAAATTAATAGCAAAAGGACGGATAAGTAGAACATCTAATCTTTATTGGATGCAGTGAGGAGTAGAGTAACTAAGGATAAGGAAAAGCTGAGCTGCTTAACACCTTCTTTGCCCCAGTTTTCAACATTAGGACAGGTTGCCCTCAGGACAAGTGTTCTCCTGAGCTGGTGGATGGGCACAGGGAGCAGAACAGCCCCCCTGAAATCCAGAAGGAAGCAGCTGGGGACCTGCTGAGCCAGATGGGCAAGAAGGCCAATGGCTCCTGGCCTGGATCAGGAATGGTGTGGCCAGCAGAAGCAGGGCAGTGATTCTTCCCCTGCACTCAGCACTGCTGAGGCCACACCTCTACTGCTGTGTCCATTCCTGGGCCCCCAATTTAGGAAGGCCATGGAGGGGCTGGAGTGTGTCCAGAGAAGGGCAAGAAGGCCGGTGAGGGGTCTGGAACACAAGTCCTATGAGGGGTGGCTGAGGGAGCTGGGGTTGTTTATCCTGGAGAAGAGGAGGCTCATTGGAGACCTCTTCACCCTCTGCAACTCCCTGACAGGAGGGCGCAGCCAAGGGGGGATCGGGCTCTTCTGACAGGGAACAGTGACAGGACAAGAGGACACAGCTTAAGATGTGCCAAGGGAGGGTTAGACTGGACATTTGGAACAGGTTCTTCACAGAAAAGTCGATTGGCCATTGGAAGGGGCTGCCCAGGGAGCTGATGGACTCACTGGAGCTGTCCCTGGAGGTGTTTATGGAAAGACTGGATGTGGCACTCAGTGCCATGGTCTGGGTGACAAGGTGGTGTTGGGTCACAGGTTGGAGTTGCTGATCTCCAAGGTCTTTTGCAGCCTGTGATTCTGTGATGATTGTGATACTGCGTGGCATCATAAAACCAAGGGTCTCTTCTCACAGTGCAGGGCTAAATCAAACCAAGGAGTCCATTTTGGGACTCTGCCGCCTCATGGAATTCAGAAGACTGTTGTAACACTGTGTGGCTTTGTAGAAATGAGGAGACTGTTGTGACATTGTGTGGCCTTGTGTGACAATGGGGCCATTCTGACAATGCAGGGCCCCATGGAACAAAGAGCCCATTTTTGCACTGAGCACACTCATGGAATGAAGGAAACAGTTTTGACAATGTGGTGCCCCTTGGGACTAAGAGGCCATTGTGACACTGCGGGGTCCAGGGAGAACACAGAACACTGTGAAACCGAGGGGCCCTTTAGAATCAAGAGGCCATTGTGACTCTGTGGAACCTCCTGGAATCATGGAGACCCTTGTGACACTCCAGGGGCCCATGAAGCAAGGGATATCAAAAGTTGAGTGCGAGTGTGGATCTGCTCAAGGGTAGGAGGGCTCTGCAGAGGGCCCTGGACAGGCTGGATCCAGGGCCCAAATCCAACAAGGTGAGGTTGAACACAACCAAGTGCCAGGTCCTGCACTTTGGCCACAACAACCCCTGCAGCGCTACAGGCTGGGGACAGAGTGGCTGGACAGCGGCCAGGCAGAAAGGGACCTGGGGCACTGATGGACAGCAGGCTGGACATGAGGCAGCACTGTGCCCAGGTGGGCAAGAAGGCCAATGGCTCCTGGCCTGGATTAGGAGTGGTGTGGCCAGCAGGAGCATAGCTGCTGTGCAGCCCCTGACATACCCCCAGCTCTGCACACAGACATTGCTGCTGCAGGTCCATAGTAGGCAAGGAAATGGGTATCTCTGCAGAAAACTTTTCTGGGAGATCCTTTAGTTTATTTAAAGCCACTGAGAGCACAGGTCCTTATTGGTACAATCTGTGGCCACAGGGAAGATGGAGAGAAACAAAATGAGAAATGGCACAAACAATGGCATGCCTTTGTGGACAATATTTAAAAACTAAAACAAAGGAATAAAAAGAACAAACGACCAAACCCAAGTACTATCAAAGATGACTCTTATGAGGAGTGACTTGCAGAAACTGGCCAGCAGTTTATTGTTTCTGAAACCATCCAGTCATCAGTCTCCACATTACAGCCTTGAGCTCCTGGTTCCTCAGGCTGTAGATGAGGGGGTTCAGGGCTGGAGGCACCAACGAGTACAGAACTGACACTGCCAGATGCAGGGATGGGGAGGAGATGGAGGGGGGCTTCAGGTGAGCAAACACGATAGTGCTGAAAAACAGGGAGACCACAGCCAGGTGAGGGAGGCAGGTGGAAAAGGCTTTGTGCCGTCCCTGCTCAGAGGGGATCCTCAGCACAGCCCTGAAGATCTGCACATAGGAAAAAACAATGAACACAAAACAACCAAAAGCTATGGAGACAGTGAAAACAGAAACTTTTATTTTCCTGAGGTAGTATTTGGAGCAGGAGAGCTTGAGGATGTGTGGGATTTCACAGAAGAACCGGTCCAGGGCATTGCCATGGCACAGGGGCAGGGAAAATGTATTGGCTGTGTGCAGCAGAGCATTGAGAAAGGCACTGGCCCAGGCAGCTGCTGCCATGTGGGCACAAGCTCTGCTGCCCAGGAGGGTCCCGTAGTGCAGGGGTTTGCAGATGGACACGTAGCGGTCGTAGCACATGATGGTCAGGAGGGAAAATTCTGTTGTGATAAAGAAGAGAAAGAAGAAAACCTGTGCAGCACATCCTGAGTAGGAGATGTCTCTGGTGTCCCAGAGGGAATTGTGCATGGCTTTGGGGACAGTGGTGCAGATCATGCCCAGGTCGCTGAGGGCCAGGTTGAGCAGGAAGAAGAACATGGGCGTGTGCAGGTGGTGGCCGCAGGCTACGGTGCTGATGATGAGGCCGTTGCCCAGGAGGGCAGCCAGGGAGATGCCCAGCAAGAGGCAGAAGTGCAGGAGCTGCAGCTGCCGCGTGTCTGCCAATGCCAGCAGGAGGAAGTGCCTGATGGAGCTGCTGTTGAACATTTGCTGCCTTAGGAAATGGTTTTCTGCTGAGGAGGAAAAGGCAGGACAGAGCCGGGCTCAACACAGAGCAAGATATATTGCATATCCTACAGCAATTCAACATTCAGGATCTCTCTTTTTGGAACCACTTCTCTGCATTCTCCTCACCTGGGACCTGGGTTTTTCAGGCATTGAGACCAGGGGCTCCCAAACAGGCTCCAGAGGATTCCTTCTTTTTGTTCAGTGAGAGGCAACTGAGAAGGCTGGGTGATCACCAATTAAATGGACTCCTGAAACACCAGAATGCTTTTCAGTCCTGCTGTTTGCAATTTGCCCATCTGAAGAACTGAGCTGAGGAAAGTCCTTGTCTTTTTTCATCCAGTTGCACCTGCCACAGTTAGGAGTGGTTGTGAGTGTTTGAAATCCCTGACATTTCTAAAGCACTGCAGATGAAACCGTGTGGGTGTGAGAGGCACAGGGATGGACTCTCAGTGCAGGGACAAGAGAGCAGCTCTGCCCATCAGGGCTGTTCTCAGCTGCCCCTTGCTGGCAGCTTGGAGCTGAAGGAGAGGCACCCAGAGGAGTTCCCCTCAGAGAAACAGGGCAGTGCTGAGGGCAGAGGGCTCTGGGCAGAGAGCAGATGGACAGAGCCCTCGCCTTCTCCCAGAGTGCCTCATGAGGATCTCAGCTGTCTCCTGCCATGGTGGTGCACAGAGGGATCATTGCAGTGCCCAGGTGCAGCTGCCCAGCAGCATTTCCCTGGCCCTGCCACTGAGCTGTCTCCTCCATGGGGATCCCAGGCAGCCCAGAAACAGCACAGGAGAGCTGTGCCCTTCTGGAGAGCACCCTGCAGCCCTGCAGGACACCCAGGGAATGAGCTGAACGGCCCTGAGGGCACCTGGGCACTCTGCTCCCACAGACACATCTCCGCAGCAGGATCCAAGGGGTCCCTGCCTGGACGGGCACCTGCCAGCCCCAAACCCTGGCTCTGCCTCAGAAACCCCAATGGTGGCAACAAGGACAGCACAGGCACCTGGAGATGGCAGAGAAATGTCACAATGCTCCTGCCAGGGGACAGCAGGGACATAGAGACTGATGGAAATCAGGGGCTTGTCCTTCCTTCCCTGGGCTCTGGCTGCTGCAGGGGCTCTGCACAGCCGAGCCCCCGTGGGATGAGGGCAGGAGCTCTGTTTAGGATGGGAAAGGAGCCCAGGGAGGAGCTGCTGGGGGAAGGTGCCTGAGCCACAGGGACAGCAGGGAGGTGCCACATCCCCCAGGCCAGCATTTGTGGCAGCAGCTCCCTGTCCCTCCCTGCCCGTGTCTCTGCTGAGTGGGGCTGTTGCTGCCAGCAGCGTCTCGCTGTGCCCAGCTCCGCTCCCTGCCAGGGCTCACAGAGCCCATCTCCACCCCACGGCCCTGGGGCAGCTCTGCCTGTCCCTGCAGGGACCTGTCCTGTGCCTCTGAGGGGGCAGCAGGGAAGCCTCACTCTGGAGCTTGTTCTGCTCCACACCAGGACATCCAGGAGAGCCATCCTGACAGGTCCTGTCAGTGCTGGCATTGTCAGAGACACTTCCAGGAACTCACCTGCATTGCCTTGCAGCCAGAGACTCACCGTGTCCAGGGGCTGTGCAGATTTCTCCCCTGATGGGGTCTCTCCTGTCCGCCCACCCCACCCCTTTAACCTCTTCGTCACTTGTGCTGCCTGCCCTTGCCGCCTGCAGATACTCCCCTGTCTGCCCTATGGCCGCCTCCTCTGCAGAGGAGGAACTGGGTGAGGGCTTGCAAAAGATCATGGAAACTGTGGGATGTGCCAGCCTTAGGAGAAGCCTCCAGGAATGGAATTTTAACTTTCCTAGAGGCAGAGAATTATTCATTCAAACCCTGGGAAAATTTGTCCCCTGGCAAGAGCTCAATCACCCTCCTAGCCCAGGCTGCCTCTGCTCTCTCTGTGCCTCTGTGCTGTGCCCGGGTGGCTGCAGGCAGAGCCCCAGCCCTGCTGGGCTGGGAGAGGAGCTGCTCCTGGCCAGAGCTGTCTCTCTGCAGCTCTGCTGCCCTTGCCAGGAGCTGCCTCTGTGCCAGGAGCCTGGCCCATCCCAGCAGCAGAGACACTGCACAAGGACTTCTCTTGTGGGTTGGGTGCTGAGTCCCTGAACATCAGTCCCTGAGAGAGAGTTGAAGAAATCTCTCAAGAATTTAAAGTCACAATCAATCTCCAAAGTTTCTTGAAGTTTTATGGGTCCCACTGAGGGACATGACTGAGAAAGTGTCCCCAGGTTCCAGTTAGAGCAGAACACTGGAGGCAATGATGACAGCTGGGGACAAACAAGGCTAAGGTGTCTCTGGTGCTGAGCAAAGCTGGATGTGTTTGAGGAATGCAAAGGGCCTACCCTGAGCCCCAGCCCCTGGCCAGGCAGATGCTGTCCCTCCCTCCTTGCTCAGGGCTCTTGATGGGATGGACACTGGCATGTGGGGATGTGCAACGCAAGGGGAGGAGCATGGGGCGGCCCCTGCCAGGCTGCTGAGCAGGGACAAGGAGGCAATGAAGCCCCGGGCCAGCAAGGGTCACTTGTCTCCTGCTCCTGGCTCCTGGTTCCACCAGGCCTTCCTGCATCACAATGGTCCCTTGGTTCCAAGAGGTTTCTCAGGTCACAATGGTCTCCTTGGATCCACAGCATCACAATGGATCATTGGTTCAATGTGGCCCCAAGGTGCCAAAATGGATTTTGGTTCTGTGGGGTTCTGCTGTGTCACCATGGACCCTTTGTTCCATGAGTTTGCACAGTGTCACAGCTGACTCCTTGGGTCTGTGAGGGACCACTATCACCAAATCTCTGAAATATCAGAATAAGGCTCCCTACCACTAATTTCCAATTAAGAGGGAATCATTTATTCAGGCTTAAGGTCCAAAATGGGATAACTCCTAACCATACGTGTACATGTAATTGTACCAGGGTGTTCCTTATATACAGTCCCTAAATATGAATTACAATTTACCCACTTCCAAAAAACCCACTCCAAGTTCCCAGATTCACTCCTTGTTTTCTCTATCCCTGCACCCTTGAGCCAGATGTCTTCTTCTTTTCTTCCAACCATCCTTGCTGGGGAAGCAGCCCCTGCATGCCTTGTTCCTGTGCTGAGAGTTCACAGGCAGGGTAAACATGGAATGAAGCCTTTTGGTATCAGCCCCAGGCTTTGTGTGGGCAGGCAGGGGCAGGCAGGAGGCAGAGCTGTCAGCAAAGGAAGGGGCCAGCCAGGTGGGGCAGCCGGGGGATGCTGACAGCCTGCAGGGACAGAGGCGCAGGGCAGGGACACCGCAGCACAGCCTGGGCTGCACAGGGCACAGGCATGTGCAGCAGCTGCAAGACAGCCCTGCCAGAGCCACCTTGGGCAGCACTTTGGCCATGGCTGCTGGGCCTGGGCCTGAGGCAGGAGCAGGAGACAAGCGACCCTTGCAGGCCTGGGGCCTCATTGCCTCCTTGTCCCTGCTCAGCAGCCTGGCAGGGGCCGCCCCATGCTCCTGCCCTTGCCATTGCACATCCCCACATGCCAGTGCCCATCCCGGCAAGAGCCCTGAGCAAGGAGGGAGGGACAGCATCTGCCTGGTCAGGGGCTGGGGCTCAGGCCTTGGCCCTTTGCATTCCTCAAACACATCCAGCTTTGCTCAGCACCAGAGACACCTCGGCCTTGTTTGTCCCCAGCTGTCATCACTGCCTCCAGTGTTCTGCTCTAACTGGAACCTGGGGACACTTTCTGAGTTGTGTCCCTCAGTGGGACCCATTAAAACTTCAAGGAACTTTGGAGTTTCAATTTAACTTTGAGTTCTTGAGAAGTTTTTTGAAGTCACTCTCAGTCACTGAGTCTGATGTAAACAACATCAATGCCCTGTGAGGGTCATTAAATTTTTGCTAGTCATGTTATTGGGAAAGATTTCAAAGAACTTGTAAAAAATACACATTCCTATTTGAAAGGAAGTATTTTAATTTATTTCTCTTTACATCAGAGATGATTGCAGCATTCTGTGATTGATATTGACCCAGGGTCTCTCCTCAGCAGCTCTGGCCTGCTCACAGGAGCTGTGCCTGGAGCTCTGACCCAGTGTGGACAACCTTGCTCCACATTGCCCAGCCCCATCCTGTCTGTCCTCACTCCCCTGGGACCTGCTGTGCTTGCAGAGCTGGCTGCACTCAGCCTAAGAGGGGTTTTCACTTTTTGGGATTTTTTGAAGCAATCTGAAACTCCTGAGTTTCCCCACTGCAAACAGACACACTGCTCAGGTGTGTGCCAGCCCCAGGTGCCACCAAAGCCACTGCAGAGCTGCCCTGGGCCAGCTGTGAGGGTGGATCATCAGCCCAAGCTGCACTGGGCCACTGCAAGGGGCTGTGGCCATGGGCACTGCACTGACCCCACTGCTGGGTTTGGCTGCCACGGCCACCGAGAGAAATTAAACTGTCCTTGGAAATACTGGGGAGGACTGGGACATACTGGGAAACACTGGGAACGCTGTGGGAGACACTGGGACATACTGGGAGTGACACTGGGTGATACTGGGAGAAACTGGGGACACTGGGGATATTGCAGGGAACACTGGGGGACACTGGGGCATCCTGTGGATGACATTGGGAGGAACTGGGAACAACTGG